CATATGAGCGCCAGAAGATTTTAGAGGTGTTACATGAGGGAGAGAGAGAGAGAGAGAGAGAGAGAGAGAGAGAGAGAGAGAGAGAGAGAGAGAGAGAGAGTCGCTTTTGTCAAGCTAAACACAGAATAAACAATTGCCATAAGACAACACTCATATTAAAATGTGGTTAATTTCTTTAATTGATTTTTTTCTTTCAAAAGACAATTTTTTTCAAATATTCAAAAAAGCGGATCGAACATGCCGCTTACTAGCTTGCGACTTGTTTGTTTTTATTTGGTTTCCTGATTCTGTTTTGACATAGTCCACAAAGAAATTAAATAATACTGAGCTCTTTTGTCAAGCTCCATCAATTGAAGTTGGAAAACATGAAAAGGTCAGTGCTCGTCTGTCCTTTATTGAAGCAAATGTGAATCAACTTCAGACCTCAGCGTACAAGTATTTCATGTTTACATGGGGCATTTTGATATTTACTTGTTAAACATTGCACATTTCCAAGAAAATATAACAAGAACATGTAAGCACGTTCACCTAAAACAATTACATTTTATATCACAAATCTTTCACTAATATACATTTAACAAAAGCAGTGACAAAACCTTGGTACACAATTTCAACATGGATCGTTTGTTTTAAACACATGTTGAAACTTGATTCTTTTTATCAATTTTGCAGATTTTATTTCAGCTGCAGGCATGCCTTTGGAATGTCGTTGTATGAGGAACAGAAACAAAATCTGGGTAAGGATGAAAACAATGGTTTTTCTTATCTTTTTTTCTCTTCTATCATAATATTAAACATTTATGATGTTGACTTCAAGTACAATTTAAAAAAAAGAAAAAAAAGATACCGATAGCAGCAGCAGTGTCAGCAAACGAACATGGTAAAGTTTTGATATTTTATACTTATTTGTCTATGAATCTCTCCCGAGAGAGGCCCACTCAACTTCACAATACTATCTGCTTTAGTTAGTGATGTCAGAATATTTCATTTCAGAAACAGAAACTTGGATGCGAAACACATGGGGTCAATAATACATTAATCAGGTAACAATTTTTTTATTCTGTTCCGACAGTTGAAACAAATCGATATTTGGGGTAGAAGTAAATATTATGTTTTGAGTGATATGACAAAATCAAACACAAGCTTAGATTCGAGCATAAAACAATTGTTGTAATCAACGTGGCAAAATGGATCCTTTTCCTGACCCACTGTTCAAACGAACAGTACATCCTAGCTGCCTGTTCAGCTGCTTTGGGGCATCACGTAGGTTTTCTCGTCTGCAATGTAAAATAAGTAGAAAGAGAAGAGGAAAAAATTAAGAAATACATTAGCTAATAAAGTTAAACATTTGACTGCACAATTCATCATTGTCAAAGTAAATTTACGAATTAGAGAGAGAGAGAGAGAGAGAGAGAGAGAGAGAGAGAGAGAGAGAGAGAGATCACAATTTGGATAAAGATGTGTAATAATTTCTCCAAATATAAGCAAAGGCTTTTAAACACACAATTTATGTTAGTGTGGATGTAAAACAAGGTGCCAGTCGAGAAATGACGGCCTTCCGCGAGATTCCTGCTCTATTTGACAGTCAACCCCTGAATCAGTCTGACAATTGGTCAACTTGGCAGTCTACTAGTATAAAAAGTAAAGTTGTTCACGCATCCGATCCGGACACTTGGGATTGCCTTGTTATAGTGAGACTTCCATGACCTCCGGCCCTTTGTGGTAGGGTGGCCAGTTCCTTTTCACGCCGCCTTTACTTCCCCAACTCGAAGTCAGGTACCCATTACTGCTGGGTGGGCAGGCGAGGGGGCGAAAAAAATCCGTGTCCGAACCGAGGCTCGAACCCGGACTTTCTGCTTCGGAGACGAGCGCACTAACCGCTCCTCCACCGCACCCTGCTAGTATACTACAATAAAAAAAACCCTGATGATTACCACCGTAACCCTAATACTATCGAATTGACACAGCACAGGAAGACCAATGTCAATCAGGTTGATCATCAATTGGACTAAACGAGTTGTTCTTACATCCCCCCCCCCCTAAACGACACAATTTAGACCATTTAGGAGGTTGGCTTCCGACCCAGCCTGTCAGGGCTAACCCGAGCTGAGAGGGATACGACATCCAAGCAGAAAGACGGGGATGCTTGATGAAAATATTTTCTCCCCACTCGAGAATCGATCTTGGGGCCCCTGCGTGCGACAGCGAAGCGCTTAACTGCTACACAACAGACTCCGCTCAACTGGATTAGCACAGAGAAACAGTTATCATCATTTGAAAATGACAATTCTATTTTCACTCACCAATCTTCCTCATATCATCAATGGTCAGATTGCTCAAGTCTCCAGTGGTGAGGAAGAGCTTGTACTCGTTGTCAAAGATTGTCTTCACCTGAGCTCCCATGATGGAGTCCATTCCAAGGTCTGCCAAAGTGGAGTTAGGGTCGTACTCGGAGAAGTCAGGGAGACCTGAGGTAGGAAAAGGAGGGAGAGGGGACGGGGGTGGTGAGGGTGAGCGATTTCTCTCTCTCTATCACTCTCTTTCTTTCTCTCTCTCTCTCTCTCTCTCTCTCTCTCTCTCTCTCCCCTCTCTCTCTGTTTTTTTGTCTGTCTGTCTGTCTATCTGTCTCTCTGTCTGTCTGTCTGTCGGTCTGTCAGTCTGTCTATCTGTCTGTCTGTCTGTCTGTCT